CTTCCTCGTATAAGCCTGTATCGCAAGATCACGGCTAGCAAAAGAAATCGAAAACGGAGATCCTTGCGACATTTTCTTATTTGAATGTGGTCATTCGCCTTTGACGATGCTGAAGAGCAGCCAGGCCGCGTATTTAGTCCTTGTGTGCTGTTGTAGCTGCTGTAGATGTGGATGACATGGATCGCGAAGAATGTTACCAACCGGAACCAGTCGTGTGACTGCCCGCTTGCTGTTTGTTTTCTTACTGCTTGATACTCGTATTAGAGATGGGCGAATAGGATCCTTCGGTATTCTGACGCGCGGTTGTGTAGAACTGGCAAATAATACAATTTCTTTACCATCCTCACAAAATTCGGTACAGACGGGTTTTTGAGGTCGCTGATTTTAAATCTGCTGTCAGATTCAATATAGCGTATCGAATATCGCGTCAGATCCTTGGAATAAGTTGATATTATGATGCTTGATAGGAGTTCTTGAGAACGATGTCTGGTAGACGTGTCAGGGCGCTTCACTACACTTTATTTTTATTTTATTTTATTTTATTCATTACAACACCCTACAGTAAATACCAATTACAGGGTGAGGAAACACAGAACATAACACAGATATAAAAGACAATAATAAGTAATAAGTAATAGACTACAAAGTGTAAAAGATACATGCTGGTTACTTAATAGTATTTTTTATGTCTGCAATTCTGCAGTTAAATATATCAATCCTGTTACTTGCAGAATTGTAATTCCTACACATCACATGTAAAGGGGAATAGTGTAAATAATTTGTCCGTGCTGCAGGTAGATAAAACGTAACGTTTTGTCGGGATGTCAGCCTAGGTACGTTAAATGATAACTGACCCAATAAAGCTAAATCATCACTAGCATTATTGATCAACTTAAATAGAAAAATCACTGACTGGCAAGTGCGCCTTGCTTCAAGACTGCTGATTAGATGTTTTTCAAGTAAGGAATCATGAGGTATACCTATGGGCGGGTAAACGCCATCCACTTTCAGTGACAAATATTTTAAGAAACGTCTTTGAACACATTCAAGCCTACTTATATGAATAATATGATGCGGATTCCAAATTAGCAATGCATACTCAAGCTTCGACCTAACATATGCATAATACAGCAACTTCAAGGTGGTACTCTGAGTGAAGTCACGGCAGTTTCTTACAATAAAGCCGTACATGCGGTTTGCCTCGGAAATTTTGCTGTCAATGTGTTTGACGAATGTTAGTTGGGAGTCAAATGTCACGCCTAAGTCACATAAAGTTGAAGTCCTCTGAATAGAGCTACCTGACAGGGTATAGTCAAATAACAGAGGATTTTTCTTCAAAGTGTAAGACATTACGTAACATTTATTGATGTTTAATGACAGATTGTTTTGTGAGCACCAAGCATCCAACCTGACCAGATTTTCTAAAAGTTGATCACAGTCTGATTCATCAACTACACGACAAAACATCTTCAGATCATCAGCGTAAAGTAAACAATTCTCGCCAACAGCATTGACTATGTCATTCACAAATATGACGAACAATAAAGGCCCTAGGTTACTGCCTTGTGGCACTCCGGAATTGGCTACATACTTCGACGATCTGATGCCATTAAACATCACAAATTGATTTCTTCCAGTGAGGTAGGACTTAAATAGTTGTATTAAAGGATCAGATAATCCATGAGATTTCAGCTTATGCAATAGCATCCTGTGATCAACTCTGTCGAAAGCCTTGGAGAAGTCTGTGTAGACCACATCTGTTTGTAATCCTCTGTCAATGTTTTCTGCTATGGTCTGTGTGAAGTTCATCAGATTTGATACTGTTGAGCGCCCTTTCATGAAACCATGTTGTTGAACACATATTTTTCTGCTGACATGATGATATAGTCTGTTATATATTAATATCTCTAGAGCTTTTGAAAAATTGCACAATATTGATATAGGTCTAAAATTTGATACATCATTCCTACTGCCGTTTTTGTGTATTGGACATACTTTAGACAACTTCCATAGTTCTGGAATTGTGCAGGTGGTAAGGCACAAGTTGAATAAAACGGTCAAAGGACACGCCAACACAGAGGCACAGTCACGCAAAATAAAAGCTGGTACATTATCCGGTCCGGTAGTCATCTTAGGTTTTATTTGCTTCAAGGCTAAGACAACTTCATCCTCCTCAAATCTAGTAATATTGAGTGGTTGTTCATTGCTCATTAAAAAGTTATCAGTTTCTTCGGTGGCTGACGAAGACGAGTAGTATTTGGAGAAGTTATCCGCAAAAGCATTTAAAATGTCGTTCGGTTCCAAAAGTTCATTACCATTGTAAATCATCCTACTTGATAAGTTTGTTGATTTTCGCTTAGAATTTAAGAAGCCCCAAAATTTATTCGAATCTCTTTGTATTTCGTTCTCAGCTTGTCTGACATATATTTTGTATGCTTCATCTGACTCTATCCTAATTTTTGATCTAAGTTCCCTGAATGTCTGATACGTTTTAGGATCATTGTTGCGTCTATAAGATCGGTGAATCTTCTCCTTGCGCTTGATAAGCTTAATTATTGCTGAATTGAACCAGGGTGGGTATTTACGTTTCGTTGCTCGGGCATATTTTGGAACACAGGTATCAAAAGCATTGTACAGTTTATTATAAAAGAACTCACACGCTTCATTCGCGTCATGAAAGCCATCTAAAGCAGCCCAATCCATGTCTGAAATTAAATTATATAATTGGGGGAAGTTGGCTTTGCGGAAATTATAAGAATTTATAAATGAAACAGGAAAGTTATGCTTAGTATTGAGACTGCTGTTGACATTACAACAAATATTCAGGGCAGGGTGATATGGGTCTTCATCTAGCAGCGGATCCCACGAATGTTCAACCTCACACAGACCACTACAGAAAACTAAATCAAGGGTATTGTCCATAGAATTTGAAATATTGTTAAACTGATTAATAGCAAGACCCTCAGCAAAGTTGTTCAACGATACCAATTTTGCGTTGCGTCCATGACTATTAGCATAAGAAGTGTAGTTAGCTATGTTGAAATCCCCTGTTATAACTAAATTCCTATCAAATAGGACGTGCGATGACAAGATAGCATCATAAAATTGCTCATATTCAGCATTGGGCTTATCAGGTGGTATGTAGACATTGCAAATGTAAACTGAAAAAGAGTTGGTACAAACCTTGACTGCTACTACATCAATCTTTAGGGCAGAAAGTACTGCCAACTCAGGTATCTCTATCAAAGATGCTGTAAAACGCTCATCAATCGCAATCAACACACCACCACCTCTTGAGCAACCAGTGGTTACATAATCTCGATCTGTCCGGAACACATTATATGTAGTTGGAATAAATTCACTACTCATACATGAGAAATCTAACCAGGTTTCAGTTATTGCAATGATAGGATATTCACACCTACAAATAGCATTATAAAAAACAGCAGCTTTCGTTCGGAGTCCACGAACATTTTGGTAGTATATTAGAGGTTGCAGCCTATCACTACAATTAGAATCTACTCCCTTGTGAGTTACGACGAAGGGATGCATTGGTTGCTACTGACTGAGTAGGTCGTGTCTTAATCTATCAAGGGCTTCATTGTATGCCTTGCATTTCTGCTTATCCCAAACAGCATGATCCGTTTGCACACTACCATCTTTCTGTTTAAGTTTCATACAGTTTGAGCATTTACGAGTCTGTGATTTGCAATGTTTGACCTCATGATTCTCGCTACAGAGTGGGCAAACAACTGCGCTTTTACATTTGCTAGAAGAATGATGGAATTCATTACATTTAAAGCAACGATACACATCAATAGCATCGTAAACAGCGCAATTGTCATACCCCACAAACAAATAACCAGCTTTAACAATTTTGTCATAACTACTTCTATCCACCTGAACAATAGCTTGATATACAGAAGGGTCTTTTTTAGTAGGAAAGTGCTTAACAATTTTACATTCAAAATCATCTTCGAAGATATCAGTATTTCCTTTTAATAACAAGTGCCGTAATTTATCATCTGAATATTTATCTGACATGCCCACTAGCCGAAACCGCGGGTTAATACCGGTAATTTCACGTATCACATAACTATCTGACAACTTTTCCTGAACAATAGCTTTCAACTTCTGATTTTCTTCCTTTGACTTACAGCCAATAAGAATACCACCATCCCTAACATCCTTCACTTTCGCTAACTGAACTTCCGCAGTACAAGGATTCACATGCTGTATTAGATCAGCTTTGGTTTGCTTGCTTTGATGATTCCCATTTTTTGGCTGAATAATTAATGCTGGCTGGGTCTTATTTCTAACGACCTCGGCATAGGATACTACAGGCTTGTTGACAGAAGGTACTGCATGAGATGATTTCATAGATCTTGATATATCAGCAGATAATTTCGTGACTTGATTCTTGAAAGAAGCCATGGCCTCGTCAATTTTGCCACTCAGTAGATTCTTAACATCATCCTGGTTTATTACAATGCAGTTAGGAATGCAGTTCTTACATCTCCAAAACAACCCAGGAACAGTACTTATGACGCCCAGTATATCTGTGTTTGAGATACACAAAGAATGAAACTGCTTTTTACATGCGTCGCAAGAAATAGGTGGCCTTGACCGAGTTACCAATGTTTGGCAAATTTCACAGTTGACCATGATGCAAATTCACTGCACTTTCACGAACTTTCTCGATATTTTCAGGAGTACGAACAGTTCGAACACGGCCCGACCTTGGCAAGTCTTTAACTTCACCTTTTTGTTCAAATTTCTTCACAAACAGACGAATGGTGTTGACATTTCGACCGAAATCTTGTCGTAGCTTCCGAATCGCTGGAACAATCGACTCATTATTTAAGTAAAACGTTTTAACGATACGGACGCGTTGTGGGATCGTGTAGCGCTCCATGGTGAATTTGACACAATGTGCTTTAAACAACTACGGCGGCGTCACCTACTGAGAAGCGTGTATCAAAATTATATATTGGCCACCCTGTATATCCACGGTCCATTTGTCCAGAATTGCGTGGAAAGTACAGAGTCAATCTGCTTGGCGTCATTTTCTTCCCTCGTAACAATACATACTTTTATTATAAACGCTTTTCTTTTGTTTCAGATATAACCGGTCGCGCGTCGACCACCACCGCCTTTCTACATGGTGAAAGTGAAAGACGATCTCCCGCCGCTCGGGATGAGCGATCCTCTGCCTACCGCTCCCGCGTCGTCGCTCGCTTCGGCTCCGCCCACCCAGGGCGGCGCCGGTCCCCACTCTTCCGCGCCGCGTAAGCAACGCCCATTCGGAGGCGGAGCCGCGAATCAACACGCGCACTTGCATCATCACCACCATCACGGCGCGTTCCAGCATTACGGGCACTATCATCGGTGCTCGTTCCCAGCAGATGGTACGTAAAATAGGATGGGGTTAAGGAGACGGTTATACCGTTGCGTTCCTCTTCCCCCTTTCTTCATTTTTCGACATTTTGGTTTAATTTTTTTACAGGCGGTGACATGCAAAACGGCGCTTCGCCCGCGAAATTTTACTTCGGACCCGGGTTCGAACCCCAGCAACAAGGCAGCTTCGGTCCCGGTCCCAGTCAGAACCAGGGAAACGAGTACATCGTGTTCTTCCACGTCAATCCTGGCGTCACTATCAGCTTCCAGATGGGGGAGAATTTGGAGATACTCAGGGGTGAGTTGACTGTTACTACCTTTTGATTGTGGATCTGAAGGATTTTATCGAGATAGTATCTCTCACTATTAGAACCGCTGTTTATTATACAAATTGACACAGGACGAGCTTGTTTTCTTCTTATTATAAATGTGAAAGTTGATGTTTGCTACTCAATCACGCCTAAATTGTTGAACATATCTGGATTAAACTTGGTACAGAGATAGATTACAATCTGGAAAAACACATGGGCTACATTTTATGATCGGAAATGATTTTGGAATATCTATTTCTATTCTATTTGTATAAAGCTTTCAACAAATACAACAGCCTGTGAGATACTTCACATATTATTCATTGTGCTTCTGATTACGCATTTTACATTAATTTATTGAATAATAAGCGTCAGTTGCCCTTCTCTGAAATCAATCTCCTTTACACGGACTATACTTAACAATACTTCTACTCTGGTGGAGCGGCTAATTTAGGCTAGAACTCTATAAAGCATCCTACGAGCTGCAACTCACAAGTCACGCTAGCGTAATACGGGTTGCGGTTGTTTAGGCGAATACCTACAAAACGGCTGTTACGTCATTCCTCCTTTGGTGGGATACGAGGGCGGTCCGATAGGTACTTAGCCTACAAAATAATAACGAAAAGTGGACTTCACCTAATACGGATTGCGTTGCGTAATTATGTAATCTTATTTCCAGCGTTCTTGAGAACCTTCCGCGTTAGACGTATTGCCACCGTTTTCGAGTCACCCTGTATATAAAAATCTCTACGTAACGGTAAGCTGCTAAGCTCTTATCACTATATATGTATAGCCGAGGCGTTGTAATTAGTTCCTGTATCCTGTGATAAAAAAAAATCGTACATATCTGGTGGTATCACCTTGAAGGTATCTCGACCGAGTTCATTCAATAAAGAATATATGGAAAAAGGAAGAGAAAAAAATCAATTATTTTATAATTGAATTAAACAGGGATTAGCAACGTTAATGATTTTATTACTCAACAGAAAAAAAGCATTTTAGTGATTTAGTAGATTGTAGGCGAAACCGGTTCATATAAGCAACTGTTTATTTAATTGTTGTGCGCTAAGTATTTCGTTTTTTGACGTTTCTGAGGCTCCTGATCGTTTTCGGAAAATTTTGTGTAGTGGTTAAAACTTTGATGTTTTGGGTTTGTTGGGGAAGGGGGGTTAGAAATGTCACTTACGTCTTTAGTATTAGTCAAAAGCAAACTTTTTGTGTTATTGTATGGTTTTCAATACGACAAGAACAGTATTATCCTTAACATTCAGATTTTGAAGCACTACTGGTGCAAAAGAAAAATTCAAGGTATAAATAGTTATGTAAAAGATATCAATATTTGAATAAAATGAATTTCAGTTGCCGGTATAAGGAACATCAAAGATTTTTTCGCAATTACAACGTTTAATGCCGTATTTTTCTATTTAAAATGTACTATTGGTAAAAGGCATGTAGTTAAAAACCTTTCGTGAATCGCAATATCCATAGATAAAAGATTAGTATTGGTTCTGGTATGCGTATTGTAACGATCCGCGAACGGACCGATAGCCATCTGTGAGGTCGATGACCTCGGGATTATAGACGAAATAAATACGAACCAAATCGAACGGAGTTTGCGGCTTGGGGCTAGCCACGCATCTCTTCAAGAAAAACGCGGATGGGAAAAATGTGGAAAGAAACAAGACAATGTCGGTTATGTTGTGTATCTCCACGGCATATACAATATAATATAGCAACGCGACCTGAAAATTAAGACATGAAAAACTGGAATTGGATAACACTTTTTTGCAAACACGTCAGCGATATTGATTACGCCATTTTAATTTTCGAAAAAATGATATCAGTGGGTATCAGTGACCTCAAAAACATGGCAAGCTCAAATATGAGCGCAATCAAGACATTTTTTTTTCAAACACTTTCATTTTGATTTCTGGAAAATCGATACTAAATTCGCCATCGGTGATCTTCAAAACGTAAATAACTTGGATCTTTTGCCAACATGTCCGCCATATTGATTCCGCCATTTTTATTTTCGGTAGATCGATATCAGATTTGCTATCAGCGACCTCAAAAACGTAATACACTCGAATTTGAAGGCTATCCAAACATTTTTTGCAAACATGTACGCCATATTGGATCCGCCATTCTGATTTTTGGAAAATCGTTACTAAATTCGTTCTCAGTGGCTTTTAAAAATAGATATCAATTTTTTTATCAGCGTACTCAAAAACATAATCAACTCGAACTTAGCGCGGAATCCAAACAATTCTTTGTACACATGCCCGCCATATTGGATCCGCCATTTTGATTTCTAATAAATGTATATCATATTGCTTATCAGCGCCACTGAAAACATTTAAAACTCTGAGTTGAGCGCAATCCAAATATTTGTTTGCATAAATGTCGGCCATTTTGGATCCGCCATTTTGATTTTTGTTGAATGGATGTAACATTCGTTATCAGCGACATCGAGAACATATTAAACTCGAATTTGAGCGCAATCAAAACTTTTTTATACTTGTTCGCCATATTCGATCCACCATTTTGATTTTAATAAATATCAGTGACCTCGAGAACATAGAAGAACTATGATTCGAGCACATTCCAAACATTTCTTTGCAAACATGTCTTCCATATTGGATCCGCCATTTTGATTTTTGGAAAATCGATTCTAAATTCTTTTTCAGCGGTCTTTGAAAAGCGAAGGATCCATGATTGAGCGTAATCGAGACATTTTTTGCGAACATTGCGCCATATTGATTCCGCCATTTTTATTTTCGAAAAATCTATATAAAATTTGTTATCAGCCATATTGGATCCGCCATTTTGATTTTAATAAATATCAGTGACCTCGAGAACATAGAAGACCTAGGATTTGAGCACACTCCAAACATTTCTTTGCAAACATGTCTTCCATATTGGATCCGCCATTATTATTTTCGAAAAATCGATATCAAATTTGTTATCTGCTACACCAAAAACATGATAAACACAAATTTGAGCGCGATCCAAATTTTTTTGTCTTTCATGTTGGATCCGCCATTTTGATTTTTGGAAAATCGATTCTAAATTCTTTTTCAGCGGTCTTTGAAACGTAAAGGATCCATGTTTGAACGTTATCGAGACATTTTTTGGAAACATCTGCGCCATATTGATTCCGCCATTTTTATTTTCGAAAAATCTATATAAACTTTGTTATCAGCCATATTGGATCCGCCATTTTGATTTTAATAATCATCAGTGACCTCAACATAGAAGAACTAGGATTTGAGCACATTCCAAACATTTCTTTGCAAACTTGTCTTCCATGTTGGATCCGCCATTTTGATTTTTGGAAAATCGATTCTAAATTCTTTTTCAGCGCTCTTTGAAACGTAAAGGATCCATGTTTGGGCGTAATCGAGACATTTTTTGCGAAGATCTGCGCCATATTGATTCCGCCATTTTTATTTTCGAAAAATGTATATAAATTTGTTATCAGCCATATTGGATCCGCCATTTTGATTTTAATAAATATCAGTGACCTCGAGAACATAGAAGAACTAGGATTTGAGCACATTCCAAATATTTCTTTGCAAACATGTCTTCCATATTGGATCCGCCATTATTATTTTCGAAAAATCGATATCAAATTTGTTATCTGTGACACCAAAAACATGATAAACACAAATTTGAGCGCGATCCAAATTTTTTTTGTCTTTCATGTTGGATCCGCCATTTTGATTTTTGGAAAATCGATTCTAAATTCTTTTTCAGCGGTCTTTGAAACGTAAAGGATCCATGTTTGGGCGTAATCGAGACATTTTTTGCGAAGATCTGCGCCATATTGATTCCGCCATTTTTATTTTCGAAAAATGTATATAAATTTGTTATCAGCCATATTGGATCCGCCATTTTGATTTTAATAAATATCAGTGACCTCGAGAACATAGAAGAACTAGGATTTGAGCACATTCCAAATATTTCTTTGCAAACATGTCTTCCATATTGGATCCGCCATTATTATTTTCGAAAAATCGATATCAAATTTGTTATCTGCAACACCAAAAACATGATAAACACAAATTTGAGCGCGTTCCAAATATTTTTTGTCGGCCATGTTTTGATCTGCCATTTTGATTTTTGGAAAATCGATTCTAAATTCTTTTTCAGCGGTCTTTGAAACGTAAAGGATCCATGTTTGAACGTTATCGAGACATTTTTTGCGAACATCTGCGCCATATTGAATCCGCCATATTTATCTTCGAAAAATCTATATAAAATGTGTTATCAGCCATATTGGATCCGCCATTTTGATTTTAATAAACATCAGTGACCTCGAGAACATAGAAGAACTATGATTCGAGCACATTCCAAACATTTCTTTGCAAACATGTCTTCCATATTGGATCCGCCATTTTGATTTTTGGAAAATCGATTCTAAATTCTTTTTCAGCGGTCTTTGAAAAGCGAAGGATCCATGATTGAGCGTAATCGAGACATTTTTTGCGAACATTGCGCCATATTGATTCCGCCATTTTTATTTTCGAAAAATCTATATAAAATTTGTTATCAGCCATATTGGATCCGCCATTTTGATTTTAATAAATATCAGTGACCTCGAGAACATAGAAGAACTAGGATTTGAGCACACTCCAAACATTTCTTTGCAAACATGTCTTCCATATTGGATCCGCCATTATTATTTTCGAAAAATCGATATCAAATTTGTTATCTGCTACACCAAAAACATGATAAACACAAATTTGAGCGCGATCCAAATTTTTTTGTCTTTCATGTTGGATCCGCCATTTTGATTTTTGGAAAATCGATTCTAAATTCTTTTTCAGCGGTCTTTGAAACGTAAAGGATCCATGTTTGAACGTTATCGAGACATTTTTTGGAAACATCTGCGCCATATTGATTCCGCCATTTTTATTTTCGAAAAATCTATATAAACTTTGTTATCAGCCATATTGGATCTGTCATTCTTATTTTTAATAAATTGATACATTCATTATCAGCGACCTTGATAGCATACGAAACTTGGATTTGGTTGCGATCCGAAATTTCTTGGCAAACAT